GAGAGGATTCACAAGAGACAGAATGGGGAGCAGAACAGGCAGATCTACTGAAATACACTGCTGAGGGGAGCAGCAGGGAGACAGGATAGGTCTGCTGTACTAAGAAGGTTACCTTCCTGGCCAGAGATGAACTCATGCTGCAGTGGTTGCAGATAGTTTCATAGAGCTGCACTTAAATAATAATATTTCAATTATTTCTAACTTCTATTTCAGGCAATGCTGCTATGAACATCCACAAAATGACTCTTAAGCAAATGAGCAAATAGAATCTATTTGTCTAGGATAGATTCTAGACGATTAGAAAGGGACTTTCTCTCTTACAGGTCACGCATAATTTTGGTTTTAATAAATGCTCTGTGCCCTCTGAAGTATGCCAATTTGCATACTAACAGTGTATAAGATTGCTTAGTTTTTCCCACATCCTCATCAAAACTTAGTATCATCCTCATTTTAAGTATTGCAATTGTGAATGAAGAAGATTGGATTACATTTCTGTGCTTTCCTGTTCAAGAGGAAGGTTGGGCGTTTACTAATATGTCCATTTACTGGCCATTTTAATTCATTCTCTGATGATTGCTTTTGTTCATATGCTTTACCTATTTGCCCTATTTTTCTGCTATTGTTTTCTCATAATGTATATTTATGTGTGTATATTAATTTGTTATTACTATTATTTACATATTCTAGAAATTTCCAGTTTTATACAAGTGCAGGTGTTGCTTTTAATATTAAAATTTTTTCCTGGAGAAAAATGACCCCATGCTTGCTGAGCATCACAGAGCACACAGCACCAGGACTGCTCTTGTGCAGCTTCCTAATCACTAGAGGAACTGGAAGATAATTAGAAATCTAGGAAGTGGCTTCCTTCACTCATTGTTTCAGTCCTTCTTCAGTCCCTCCATTTATTCTCTTCCAGAGGTAAACAGGCAACTGGAAGGAAAGCATCCTCTCCCCAAACAAGAAAATTAGTATGACAAAAGCAGTGTTATCTGAGTGGGGAGGAGCAGTATTTCATCAATGTCACCCTCTGCCATGGGCTTCCTCATCCTCTTCCTCTAAACATGTCCAAGAGTCTTGTTTACACATCAGAGGGAGATGTCAGATGACTCTGGCTCCGAGTTGAATATTTATAACATTTTTCTAAAGGAAGCTTCATGTTATTTACCTGTCAGGCACCATTGTGCACTGAAGGACACGGAGTCTGCATGCCTAATGATTTAAAGGCAACTGCATTTTACCCAAGGACATTTTAAAGCTTAAGCACTAAAAGGAAAAAAAAAAAAGAGTCAGGCTTTGCTGGTTCATTAGAGACAAAGACCCAACAAAAGTCAGGCATAAACTGTAATTACAAATTAGGTACTATTTTTTATTTTTTTTTTTGGTCTTATCCCTGTTGCCACTTGATTTTATTTTTATAAATATCAGGGTAAAGGGAGTTCTGAGCATCTGTTCCAGAGGCACTATATCTGTTCTCTTAGCCTTTTCGTCTAGGAAGAAATAAACAAAAGACTAAGATAAAGTGGCTTAAAATTTTTACAGACTAATGAGAATAACTGATTCTTTAGATAGGCATATTTAAAATTTGGCTTTTAATTGTAGGATTAAACAAGTATATAAGAAAAATCATATGAGACAGGATTATAATATAATGAAATCAGGTTGCTATTGATTTTTTCTTAACAAACAGACCAAATCTCATTATTTCCCAGGTGCACTGTCCTTCAAAGCAATGACCTTGGAAGATTGTATGATGACTCCACATATGTGACAATTGCAAAGAACAGTCTTAAACATCCCCTTGATGTTGCCTTCAGAGCCAGTTTATGTCCCCACCAGAAAATGGATCATCACTTAATAATCATACTACATTTAGGGGGTCAAAATCAGCATCACCACTTTTTCCCCTAGATAAAATAAACATCAAATCCATCCTCAACAAATGAATTTTCATTATGCATACGAGAATCAAAAGAATGAGCTGCTACTAACTCTGGAAGCTATTTGCATTGACAGTAGTTGATCATATTTTGAAAAAATCAAGGAAATAATTTATAGGAATACCATTTGTTTCATATTCTAATAAACTCTAATATATTTATTATTTTTAATTCATAGCTACACCTCACAAACACTTCCATGTTACAGGGTAAGTACTTTCAGTTTGCCCCTTTAGTCTAAGACTCTAAGTCTTGTGCACCCCCAAAGTTCTCCACAGGTATTGTTATACTGGCCATTTTTTGTATGCTATGTTTCTGACATCTCAACCCCAGTCTCTAAGTCTCTAACTCATAACTCCTACTGACTGGTTCACAATGATTTCATTCATATGTATATGGACAAATGATTTAGCAAGCACTTGACCTTCTCCCTAAATGCTAACTTGGCCACTTCCCAAACAGAAGCTAGAGGAGAGGTGGGAGGTAGAGTGGAGTAGTGGAAGGAAGAGGGATAGAATAAAGCCAGAACGTGGACTGGCAGTTATAAGAAGGGTAAATTGCTAGACCTAATTCCTCCCTTTGTGCTCAGAGGCATTCAGGGTTCCCCCTAGCTAATAAGAGATAATGTCAGTAGGAATTTAGCAGGCTTGAGTTACACTATGCTCTGTAAGTTAATACAAGAGAACACAGCTGTAATGGGGCTGTTCTGGCAAGGCCAAATTATTTGTCCAACATGGGAACCATTAACACCTCATTTATTATTAAACTGGAAAAGAGTTTGGTTGGAGTCCCTATAGGGTCAGTTGCCAGAAGTAAGCTCAGAGATGAAATCATCCTGCTCTTGCAGTATTTCTTTAGGAATAGAATATACAAATTGAATAAAGGACTTCTCAAGGAAATTAAAGCCATGAAAATTCCAAGAGTTTACCTAAGCCTCCACAGTTGAGTTAAATTTCCAAAGAACATTTTAATGCACTCCAAAATCCAAAGTCATCCTAACTTGACACGGGAGAGAAAGAAAAATGCCATAGCATGTGTACTAAGTCATACTACAGTGGTTAACAGCTCAATAATTCTACAAAGTGTACAGATCAAGAGAGATGAGACAGTTTCTCCTGACTCTAGTGAACAAGCCACATTTAAGAAAGACTGGTAGACCCTGTGACCATGTAATGTTGATGTGAATTCAAGTTTCCCAACTTTGTGCTGCAGAATTAAAACCTTCCCTTTCGTGTGTGGAAAAAAACAAACAAAAAGTTTTGAATCTCCACATTCATGAACCAAACATTCCTCTGAGATTCTGAGAGGTCTTTTACTATAATTTGGGTGACTAGTGCAGCTGCTCAACCATTAGATGTCACACCACAGGACCCTTTATTTTACACCCTTGTTGATTCTGCCACAATTTTCCACGGGCTTAATTTCTACTGCTGGGGCAACAAGCCAGGTGAGCTGTGGCTCTTAGCAATGGTCTAAGCCAATACCAAACAATACACATTTGTTTGGAACACCTTTAGAACTGTTAAAAGGAACTGTTAAAAGGAAGCCCTTTCTCCAGAACACAGGAGAGATGATACATGATAATAAGACATAAGGGAATTCTACAAGTTCCCTAACTACTGCAAACAAGCTCCATGAAGTAGTCAGGTACAGACAGCAAACATGTCAAAGGCACAGATTTGCTGGGGAAACCCACCTCAAGAACATGAACACAATAAAAAATGAGGGCAATCTGACTTCATTGTGTACTATAACACAATTCTTGTTTCGTTTCACAATGCTTTCCACATCTGCTTATAAGTACACATCAGCTCCTACCTTTGCACTGTTTATTGTGGAATTCTATAAGTTCCCTTACTACTGCAAACAAAGGCAAATCTTATTATAGACCGTCTGCATAGTCTGTGATTAGAGGTATTTCCTCCAGATTTGAATCTCCCAAAACAAAAAGAAGGAAGAAGAAAGCCAGCCGGTCTATATACAATGTACCCTGAGACACACGCACATGCTCAGATTCGCTCCAGGAACTTGTCTAGCAAATACTCAAGGGAGGAACCAAATGCTAAGTTTTGGAAACCTGTTTGGAAAGATGCAGCAAACATACAGATTTCAAAAAATGCAAGCACTTGCAATTTTAAATTTGATTAAATATTTAAAGTACATAGGAAAGTAATGTCCCAAAGACTCGTATAAACACAAATCAGATGGAACACACAATGGCCATGTTTCCTTTCACGTTTTTGTTTGTTTGTTTGTTTGTTTTAAAGATTTATTTGTTCATACAGAACTGGGGTACAGGCCAGAGATGTGGAGGGTGATAGGATTCACCAGAGACAGAGCAGGGAGCAGAACAGGCAGATGAACAAAGCACACTGCTGAGGGGAGCAGCAGGCAGGTCAGGAGAGGTCTGCCGCACCATGTGGTCACCTCCAGGGCAGGCGGGGATCGAACTCATGCAGAAGTGGCTTTAGCTTCTTAATGCTGTGCTTTGACCCGCTGCACCACCAGGGAGGGCCTCCTTTCACGTTTTAAGAGATAAAACATTTTACATAGTGGTAGTCTCTTTTATTTCCTTCATTGAAGACATTTCTCACTCAACCTGCCTCCTCAGAGGTGACCACTATGCTGTCTTCTTTCTTTCCATGTTTTTATCCTTTTATTACATAATCATGTATCCATAAAAAAAAGTAGTTTTGCAGCACAATTTAAATGTAAGTAAATATATATTTGTGTGTAGATTTTAAGGAATCCATTTCCTTGTTTATTCTTTTTCTCCTTTACAATTAAAAACAGATATCCAAAGGCACTAAATCCATCTACAATTCTGGATCTGATTAGACAGTCAGGAATCATACTTCAAAGCAGTATCAACAGATTTTATTGGAATAAGTATATATCAATAAAACAGTTTTTGTATTGTCTATTGTATACCAGTAAAATTGTTAATCATATAAACTTCCACGAACATATTAAAAGTATTTTGTTTGGGTTCATGGTAGTGAGTCATCTAAGAAATTAGCCATTTCAATTTTTACCTGCAGTTGACATTTGAGTGTTATTTACCTGACAGAATCAGGAGTTCAATGATCTCTGCATCTCCCAGAAATGCAGCCACATGAAGTGGGGTTCTCTTCTCAGAATCCTGAAGAATGACAAAGATAAACAAGTCAGTGCTGACTGGACATTGCTTCTGTAGACATTGCTACAGTGCTTCTGTCGACATTGTAAGACATAGCACTCAGTCTGAGGCTGTGGGAAACCGTGAAGCTCAAACTCCTCTCACTGAGTTCTGGCTGTACATTTCCTCTCAGCATGTCCCATTTCCACATGAATGAACCTCATGCCATCCTCCAGGCTTCTGTATTGTACGTGGGTGTGCTCCTCTTACTGATGCCTAGCTCAGGTCAAAGATGGACTATCACGCATTAGATGATGAAATTCACCTTACTTTCCAACCTTCCATACATGGTTAAAAAATTTTAACCTTTCTAAGTACCTGAAATAAAGTTCAAAACTTTCATTTAGTGTTAAAGGAATGCAAAGGGACTGTTCACAAGGATGTTAAATGCAAAGACAGTCATGTTCCCCTTGCTATCCCACTGTGGCCTAGACCACTGCCATTCATGTAATATTTATTGATGCCTACTTTGGGCCAGGATCCTGGGGACAGAAGGACCACCCTCGGCCGAGTCCCTGCCTTCATGAAACAGATATAAAACAGAAAGGTCATATAAAACAACAGTACATGAGTTCGTTTCAGTTGGTGATAGAGACCGCAACAAAATTTGAACAGGACAATGGGATCAAGTGACTGGCAGATGGGAATAAGCTGCTTCTTTTTTCTTTTTTTTTAAAGATTTATTTATTTATGCATACAGAACTGGAGTACAGGCCAGAGGTGTGGTGGGTGAGAGGATTCACCAGAGACAGAGTGGGGAGCAGAACAGGCCAACTGATGAAGTACACTGCTGAGGGAAGTAGTGGGCAGGTCAGGAGAGGTTTGCCGCACCATGTGGTCACCTCCGGGGCAGACAGGGATCGAACTCATGCTGAAGTGGCTTTAGTTTCTTAGTGCTGTGCTTTAACCCACTGTGCCACCAGGGAGGGCCAGGAATAAGCTTCTTTAAAGTGGAAGGCTAGGCTTCTTGAAGATAATGATAATGAAGCTGAGAGATAAAGTAGACAATACTATCTCTGTTTTATACATGAGAAAACTATGACTCAAATTAAGAAATTTTCTTAAAACCCCACAGATATGTAATAAAACCAAGATTGGACCTTCACTTGTCAGACTCCAGTCTAAGTCCTTGGTGACGCATTTAGTGTATTGTGCTAAGAGGTGGCACAATGGCAGGCTGGGAAAAAAAAATCACTCGCCCATCTGTAAACTGTAGATAATAATATCTACCTCAGAGAACTGCTAAGTGAATCCAAGATAATGTAAGTAAGTAAAGCCCTAGGCAGGCATTAGACTTGGCCCATGCACAGCAAATGCTCTATGCACTGCCATTATTGTCAGCAGCATGGATTGCTGTGTGTTAATTTTCCCCCTGAGACAAAGAACTCCCATAGGGTAAAGAACAGGTCACACTCACTCTTATCCCCACTGTACCAGAATACTAGGTGTTTGGCATAAATTGGCTAGACTGAATTGATCTACATGCATGCCTCCCTACAAACTTCCATCAACTGCTCTATAACCATGGCAACCAAAGCTTGTATGCTAAATCTTTGACATTTCTCCTAAAACTAGCACACATTTAGTTTTTAGATTCATAGATTCACTGTCGATTTTAATCAACATCCCTGTAATCACTTGATTATATAATTCACCTTGATTAGCCCAGGGATATTATTCTGTTTTCTGATAGTTCAGTCTCCCTGCTCTTTCTCAGTCTCTTTAAGCCTGTTGCTTTTGGGCATTTCATGAGTCACTAAAATCTAAAACAGATGGCAGGCAGGGAACAAGACAAGAAATGATCTTCAAACCCATCTATTTGTGAGGAGGTCTAGTAAAAAGGCTTTATGAAGGGATGAGCTAGCTTTAAGTGGACAAAAACAGAGGTCCAAACCAGCTGGGAATTTATGTTGTCTTTGTGTGCTGCAGGCAATTACTACAGATGAGTGGAAATAGGGCAGTCATATAAACTATTCCATATAAAACAATGGTATAATTTGAAAAATTCAGTAAAATATGTAACCATTGTTAGCACCCCTATACCTGTATCATCCTTTCTGTGACCTAAAGGTTTAACATCTGAAAGCATGTTTGCTTATTTGAAAATTAAGTATATTAATCTGTCCAATGATCTATACAAATAAATGAGACCAGATTGACAAATGTTTTCTATTTCTTTTGTTGCTATCTCTTCAAGTACGTTTCACTTAATCCTCATATTCCCTTGATTCCCCATTATACCTACTAAGGACTTTCTCTTAAATCTTGGGATAAAGGTTACATAATTACATTCTTCTGAGAACTGAACTTCTTCCGGAGCTTGGGTCAACAAATTAAAAAAGTGATTTAAACAGGACTAGCCCAACCCAGATCATGACTTCATCTGACCTAAAGCAAAGTCAGCGCTCTGTTTAAGAACTTGGCCTCAAATAAAAAGCTAAGAAAACTCCAATATCTAAAGCTGTCTGGCCTGTCATTAAATGACTGCCTTTGCTCATTCTACAGCCCTTTCACTGACATGGCTTGTTCAAACTTTGGCTCCTATAGCATAAAATAGATGTGTTATGAGAATCATATTATAAAAATTCTTGCTTATGAACACTAGTATTCCTGTTAATGTGCATTTATAGCTTTCCAGTAGCTCTTAGGGCATCTATGCTGATTGATACTTGCCTTTAGTGACATGCTATAAATAAGTAACTGTAGAAAAGATCCAGCAACAATTCCCTAGGACTCCAAAGCAACAGAAACACACAAATAATTACTTGTGCTATTAATATCTCAACCAAAATGACCAGTGTATCTGTATTACTTGTCAACACCCACTCTCTAGCAAGACACCTGAGTGATTTACAAGATCATGTTGAAAGGTGAACAACAGAACCACAGTAATCACCATACTTGATAAAATGAAATGCAACACAAAGCTGATCCTATGCCTAAGAAGAAAGACATCCTACTTTGCCATAAACTAGACAATAGAGTAGGAAATGCAATGATAGAAGGAAGATTCTGAGTAAAAGAGAATATTAGCAATAATACTAGTAGGTTCTATATTAACGATACCCATAGGGTATCTAGAAACAGAAACAAAACTGATCTGATAATTATAGAATGCTATCATTCTTTTTTTCAAAATGGCTTATCTGTTCTACTACTTGAATCTCATATTAAAGGAAATACACCTTCCAGAACTGTGTTCTTTAGCCTTATCATCACCATTTGAAAGATAGGGAATTTGAGTCTTTGGATAGGTTATACAGATTGCTAAGTTCAGCAAACTGACATAAAAGAGTTATCCTGGCTACCAACCTGAAACTTCTTACTTTCTAAGAATGGAAGCAAGAACATCATTTTAGACATTGTCTTGATAGCCTGAAAAGCTGTCCATTTTAAACGCTAAGAAATTTAAGGGAATATGTGACAAAAATAACGTAAACATCCCTTGAAGTAACTTCACAAAAAATGAAATAGTCTGGGACCAGAAATAAAGAGTGAACTAAGAAGGAAAGCTGGAAGCACATGAGAAGTCAATATAGCACAGGCTTTGGATTTAACACTTGCTCAGGAAGGCGAGCTGAGGTGGAGAACTGGAACAGAGACCTCAGGTAAGGAAAGACCCATGAACAAGTCTTGAAGAAATATTTCTGAAGTGAAATGGTGGGTATGGATGAAAGCCTCACAGTCCACAGACAGATGCAATGATGGCTTGACCTAGATTCTTGGTGGGGGAATCAAGTCTCTCTACTGAACATCTGCATCCCTAGAGGGGCTTGGGGTTTCAAATTTAAAATATCTACACAGTGCAAGAACTTTCGAGTTAAAAAAATGAACATAAAAATACATGGTAGGCCAGGGCTATCTCTGGGCTGCCCACAAGAAGAAACAAGACCTATTGGAGAGAGGTATCCTAATCCAAGCAACCCACTCATTAAACCCTAAAGATGAGCTCACAAGCCTACACCACAAGCCCACAAAGAAAAAATTCACCATTAGCAAGGCATAACAACTAGCAAAAATTTCATATAACAGAGAAGAATCAGAAAAAGATATGAATAATGTTTAAAATCATTTAAGATATAAAGGTCAAAGCCCAAGGTGGGGGTGAACACTTTTTATGAACAAAATTTTGGAGAAGAAATATGAAAGATGTTATGGTAAACAGAGTAATCATCTAAGACTTTGATCCAAGAGAAGTAAAAACAGAAAGAGTTAAAAAAAAAAAAAAAGGAAGACTAGGATAAGGGAAAAATAATTGCAGTGACTGGTGATTTGGGATATGTTGTACAACCATTTATTTATTTATATATGCCAAACATGGCAATTTTTTTTTAAAGATTTATTTATTTATTCATACAGAACTGGGGTACAGGCCAGAGATGGGGAGGGTGAGAGGATTCACCATGAACAGAGTGGGGAGCAGAACAGGCAGATCAGCGAAGTACACTGCCGAGGGGAGCAGTGGGCGGGTCAGGAGAGGTCTGCCACGCCATGTGGTCACCTCCGGGGCAGGCAGGGATCGAACTCATGCAGAAGTGGCTTTAGTTTCTCAGTGCAGTGCATTAACCCACTGCGCCACCAGGGAGGGCCCAAACATGGCAATTTTTAATGTCCATCATGGTGGACATTAAAAATATAATTCTTAAAACATCCAGTTAACAACTTACAAAAAATTCCAGTCCGGTTACTAGTTTCCAGATTTAAGAAAGGAGAACAAAAAAGAGGAAACAGGCAATTCTTGATATCTGTTGTGTTGAATGTTTTATTAAAATTACCAGATGCATGAGATAAATGTATTATTGCTAATGCTCCAAAACCCAACCAATTCTGAACTACCCTGGGCAAAAAGTCTAAACTGGAAAGAAAAAAATTATCACAATTTTTTTCATAAATCTGTTTTTATTTTTCTTATTTTTATTAATTTATATATCTATTTACATTATTGTTCATTTTAAAGCAACGTT